TAGGTACGTGCGTGTAGCCATAATCAATGCCCGAGCGAGTTGACTGGCATACACATTTCAGGCTGCGACCGCATTTTTCCCGCCCTAATCATTACGAGTTTTTGTATACATTAAAAAAAAAAAAAAAAAAAAAAAAAAAAAAAAAAAAAAAAATTTCTTATTTAGTCCCAGGAGTTATTGACCGATGTTATTATAGTTTTAAAGCATTAAATGATAATATAATATATTGGTTTAATTTTAATTTTACTTAATTTCATTTGATTTCTTTTATTTGTTTATTAATATCGCAGTAATTAAAATGAAATCAATTCATTGCTTTGTTTGTTTGTTTGTTTGTTTATTTGTTTCTTTCTTTCTTTCTTTCCTTCAAATCCATTAATCATATTAATGCAATTAACAATAACAACTAAATGAATGTTTTTGTTGTCCCAGTAAATAAAACCCAGCACGTGATTTTGATATTCACATTAAAATAATAATGAAAAAAAGAGAGAGAACAGAAAAAATATTTAAATAAAAAGCCCGGCTGTTATTTAGCATAATAATGACAAATTGACTTAACGGTTGAATACATTATACGCTCATTTTTAATCGAATATTTATGATGGATTTTTAATTGGTTACAATAGCGTGCGGGAAGATAAAGTGATTTCAAGTCGCACCTTTTTAACGCTCAACATCTAAATCATTATTGAAATTAATTCATATATGACATCAATGAGCCAAATATGCAGAATATATTTATTTAATTTATAAAACTTATTAAGTCAAATTGATTATATGTTTTGTTTGTTGTACATGTACACGCATCGAAAACACGCTTATTTTATCAATTAATTATAGAGGCATTGCCGTTCATTGTATTATTGGCTGCTGTAAAATTAAACTTTTCAACTTTCAAGTTTCATTTCAAAATAGTTTTGAGCTGAGAAATTTGCAAATTTTTTCTTAATTGCTATCATAAGTAATTATTATACGATTTATAGTCGTACGATCAGTTTTTGCAGACATATGTATATTTATATGTATATGCGAAAAGTATGTTAATCTTTAAAATGACTTTTGCATATAATTGGCGAACGATAAGCATTCTTCTTGAACCAACTTTAAAATTCATTTCACTACTGTTTTTTAAGTTATTCGATTACTATTATTAATTAATTATCCGGCAACGTTTTCTAACATGAGGGCAATGGACATAGTTATTTAATTTCAACGCTTTTCAAATGAAATATAATTGTGTAATATTTACACTTCATTTTAATTCATTTACATTTATAATTTATTTAAAATTATAATTAAAAAATCCCCTTTCCCTGACATTCTGAGCAACGACCAGATGTAATTTCCAAGTAATGTACAGTCGAAACTGTTTTTATGCGCCTTTTTTATTTAACTTTCACATACGTATGTAGTGGTATAAGGTATGTAAGGTAAAGAGAGAGAGAGAGAGAGAGAGAGAGAGAGGGTGGTGAAGAAAAGAAAGCGGGCGAGAGTGCCAAACAGTGGGAGTAAGTGAGGGACAGTGGGAGCGATTGAAGGACGGAGTAAGGATAAAAGAGGCGAGACAGAAAGATAGAAGCGAGACAGAGAGAGAGAGATAGATAGATAGATAGAAGGAGATAGGGTGGAGAGAGGGGGGTAAGAAGGAGACTAGAGAGAAGGAGAGAGTGAGGGACGGTGGGCGGAAGAGATGAGAGGAAGAGGAAGGCAGGATCAAAAGAGGGGGGATTTGAGAGAAAGATGTTGAAAGGTAGAGAGGAGAGCGAGAATGAGAGATAGAAAGAGAGAGGGGGAGAGGGTGAGAAGGAGAGTAGAGAAACGGAGCGAGTCAGTGACGGTGAGCGGGAGAGATGCTAGAAAGAAGAAGACTGGAACAAGGAAGATAGGGATTGAAAGGAACACATTGAGAGGTAGAGAGGAGAGCGAGACTGAGAGAGAGAGAAAGAGAGAGAGAGGGAGAAATGTGCTTTTGGTATACGACGAATCGTACTAAAATTTTGCAAATATTTCCGCGATTAAAGAAAAAAATTGCACTTTTTTAAAATATTTCCATTTCTTTTATTTAGAAAGTGCTTTCTCGCTTCTTCGTACAGTTGAACATATTCCTTAAGGGAGACCTTTTTCATCAAAATCATTTATTTTCAATATTTTGTGCAAAATCAGCTAGCTACATATAGACTTATGATATATCTGATTACTATATTAATTTTTTTCATTTTTCCCAACTATCTCTATCTATCGCACAAAAATATGTTTACCTGTACGTTACACTTTTTTTCTATTTTATTCATTTATGCGAAAAAGTGAAAGAATAATATTTTCCTACTTTTTCATAGAAATCTAATGTTTCTTCTTATTGCCCTTTAAATTGTATGTTTTAGCTTTTCACGAGAAATTTCATCTTTACATCAAATAATTAAGAAACAGCGACGTCTTTTCCATCTTAATGCTAAATTTAGAGTACCCTTAAAAACTCAATATAAAAAATTATGTGTATAGACTTTTGATGATGTATATAATGCAGCAAATACCCAAAGATATCTACTAATTTTTTGTAGTACAAGCCCCGCTGAAATTTAGTGCAAGCATATCTTCTCGCACCACCGAAAACTAAGATTAGATGATCATTTTCTTTCTCGTGAAATTCCTACTCAGATCCCAGATCCAGTTTGATTTAAGATTTGTAAATCATCCACCCAAGCGTATACGTAATCGATCAGTAAAGCAGCTTACAATCTTTATGCATTCGCTTGCTTAAGATGTTACGCTACCTTGTCAGCCAAAGTAAAAACTTTGGTAATAGTTTTTATTATATTTATTTAAATATTTGTTAAGATACTTAAAAACTTTTATTAACGAAAAAACAAAAAAACAAAAAAAACATTTTTTCTATATGCCATCCCTTTGGTCATATACATCGAGCCGAACTTTTCTATCTAAAACAGAAGAAAAATTAAAACAAACTTTTAAAATTAATATTCGATACGCTTTAAAGTTTACGATTAAAAATAAATGTATTACTAGTTTTTTTTCGAAACAATCTTAAAAGTCGGTACCCGGAACTTTAGAATAACGTTAAGCAATAAAATAGTGCTATGCGCTTTGTAAGGTAATGTTACCCTGCAGCTACTGCTATGAAACTATCATACAATTGCAAGTCAAAATCAATCGTTCGAGAGTTTATAGAGTGTTGGATATACGATCACTTCAAAAATTACGAGGTGTGTTCAAAACTAGGGTGATGTACGTACATTCCATTTTTTTTTATGTCTTATTGTCGCCAACATATGTTAATCGTTTTGCATTTTTAGTTGGTTTTTGACAGACATAAAAGTTAGACGTGGGTTATCGAACAAAAATGGATCAAACGCTTTATGTTAAATTTTGTGTGAAAAGTAAAATGAAGTGCTTCAGCTGACTTGAAGCGTTGACTATGGCATTTGGCGAGTCCATTTTGAGTAAAAAAAAAATCAAAAAAAAAAAAAACACTTGGAAGTGTTACAAGCTCTTCACAGAAGGCCAAGAAAATGTTGATTACGAAGCTCGATGAAAATGTTGAAGCAGTGAAGTGTTACGGTCGAATCACTATTAGAGCAGTTGCTCTCGGCATATCGGTTGGCTCATGCCATGCAATTTTTTTGGACATTTTGGGTATGAAATGTGTGTTGCAACGAATGCGCCAACTTCGAGGCCGCGAAGATGTTAATGACGATGGCCATCGTGGACGTCCCAGCTTGTCAACAACCGATAGAAATGTTGAAGCACTATTAGAGAAGTCGCTGAGGTTATTGTCAAGACTGAAAAGTCTCATGAAAGAACAAAGCTTTGCCACGATTAACGAGATTAAAGATCGCATCCGTAGGTGAGCTTAAGGCCATGCTGAAGAGCGCACATCATGAAATACTTTGGAGATAGTAGAAAGCCCTGGCACAAGCAGGGATTACTTCGAAGGAGACAAAATAGATATCGATGAATATATAAATAAATATTTTTCGAGAAAAATAAAAATCGCTTGTTTTTTCTTTTTTCCATTGAACACACTTTGTCGTGTACAGTGTCGAGAAAAACGTGATTAAAGTTTTTTATTTTTGTGGCAGTTTTTTTAACAATTTATATGTACTATGTGTATGGACTATTCGTGCCTTCATAAAGCGTTCGATATGCCGAAAAGCTTTTGCCTATCATTCTTGATTATTTAAGTTACGATTTAATGCGATGAGAAAAGAAAACCAAGGTAGCATTTAGTTGACCTGCGAACTATTAAATTTTCTCGCTTCCTTTTCCATATATTACTGCGTTCATAAATGATGATGATGGCGATGATGATGATGATGATGATGATGATGCATTTTGATCGATTATCATCTAATGACTTATTGCAATTATCTTGGCTCCTATTATTATTATAATTATTGCTCTAAATTTTAATTTATTCCGTTATAAATTCCTTACGCTCTGGCGGCGATCTAACTTACGCATAATGTTTATTTTTAATTTTTCATATTTATATATTAAAAAAATACCTGCAACTTGCTATATTACATATATGTATTATTATATTATTGTAAGCCTTTAACGCTTAAACGAGAGAGAGAGAGAGAGAGAGAGTGAGAATAGTGTTCTCTGCATGGTTGATTAGATAGTTTCATTCAAATAATGTGTCAATAAAATGTACATATATGCATACATACATACATACATGTATATGCTGTTTTGTGTTGGCCTTTTAACAAATGCTTGGCATTAACTTATTTTTTACTGCTGAATAATTAATAACAAACAAGAGAAGAAAACAAAAAATTAGTTTAATGTCGACAACAGAAGTTTTGTTTGTTTGTTTGTTTTTGCTTTTTTTTTTTTTCTTTTCTTTTTGATAAAGATAAGGAAAAGTATTATAAGTAAAGACCCAAGTAAACAACTGAGTTAGTAAATGAACAATAAAAAAAAAAAAAAAAAAATAAAAAAAAAATTCTATTTGTTATTATTTTTCTACTTACTTAGTTATAAGTTTCGGTCCTTTTCTTTTGACTTCAAAAAGCCGTTTGATTGTTTGTTTATTCGTTTAGAGCTTCAGGCGGATTATTTAGAAATGAATTATGCATGTATAACGACAATAATTTTATATTTATATTCTCTTTTAATAATTTATAATTAATTCATTTCAATTTACATATTTTTCGATTTTTTCTTTTCGGTTCTTTTATTTTTTTGTTTTGTTTTTGTTGTTGTTGATTAAAAAAAAAGAAAAAAAAAGAAAAAGAAAAGAATTCAGATTGAGTTCACTTTTATTTGTTACTTTTCATTTTCACATATATACATCAAATGGATTTCAACTATAAGACAAGAAATGAGAGAATAAAAATTACAATTTGTAGATTTAATTAACACACACATACGCACACACACATACGCTTCCGTAACACTCGATAAGTTTGCTTTTTTTTTTTATCAACTAATCTAATGTTATTCGGATTTCTTCAGTTTGTCTAACGTTTTTTACATGAAATTTATTTCAATTCATTTTCTCTCTTATTTTCTTAATACGCATCTCCGAAGAGTGTATGTTCAATTTCTTGTCTTGTTTGTCATTCTTAAGGAAATCCTTTCATTATTAATTTGTCAAAATGTTTGTATTCAAGGTATAAAAGTGTAAATAAATGATAAGAAACAATTTTTAAATGACTTATAATAATAAAAATGTTCCTTAGAGAAATGCTTGTACACCGTAAAGAAAAACTGAACGATTTTAATGCACGTTTGCTTTGATTACATCGATCAACGGGAAAGAGTGTTGTCAGTCTTTTCACAATGTTTCGAAGTGCAAGTGAGATATTACGTTAAGCATAGATTAGTGCGATAGTGTGTGGCGCTCTTTCGTTCGTCCCTTTGTTCGTTTATGGATTTATTTTATTTGAATCTTTCTTTTTCGCCCCCTTCTCGTCCGTCTCACGGCCCGTTTGAATTTTTTCAATTTTTCGTCCTTGTGGATTGACGATTCTGTCCTATTATTCGCACCTCGGGCCCCTATCGCGAGCCTCATAGTTCTCCCAGAAAAATTTTAAATAGATATCTGAAACTTCACATCTTCTTAATTTTAATTTTTCCTTTTCAATGATTACGGCATTGGGACTTTGGAAAACTAAAACGATATCCATTCATTATTAAATCAGTTACAAAGAATGTGAGCCAGAGAATCTAACAATGCTGGAAACCCGATTTGATTCGTTTTAAATCAGCAAGATATGTGTTGTTCAAAATGCTCTAAAAGCTTCGTAAGATGATAAGATGGAATTACTGAATGGCTCATATATAGTTACTGCACGACTCAATCAGCTAGCAGCTGATTAAATCGGAAGAAATTTACGTTCGCCTTGTGGTGAATACAAATTTTTTTTTGCTTTCTTTAAAACTATTTTCTTAGGACAAGTGTGTTCTCAAGTAGACATTTTAATTCCAGTATTAATGTGAAGAGTTATGAACGACAGGGACAAGTGCATGCCTTTGCTAAGTATGAGTAGTGAATTTTCCATTATCTTAGCGACAATAGTAGATAACAATAATTCATATTAAGTAATAAGATTGTCACCCTACCCTATCCTACCCTATGAACATGATGATATATATACTTAATAGATTTTATAATGTAGTCTTCGATCGTCCTGTCAAGTCTTCATGCATGAGTTTCAAGTTTTTGGTGTAATTGTCATTTTTGTTTGCCTCAGTATAGGTAAAGCATTTTCACTTTTATATGAAAAAAATTGAATAAAATTTCACAAGTTTTCCCTATTCTACCTACACACACATCGTTTCATTGAATTTGTAATTAGGTAATGAATACTTGAAGAAATATTTTTTGAAGTGAGAGAACATTTGCAATGATTATATAACATTTTTATATATAGAATAAGAGGCTTAAAGATATCTTTGTTAGATTGATAAAAGTTTTGGTTTGTTTCAACAACTTGAAAGGCAATCAATTTTTCTACGCAACCAACATGTTCACATTGAAATATTCCAACTGCACTGAAATATATGCGAATCTATAGTGAGTTTGGATCGAATTATTATACGAAAAACACATTTGCATATCATTCATCGATGTATAATATGTTCGTTCTTCTAGTAATTACGAGCGAACGTTTTCTTGGTTAATTAATCTAAATCAGGTCCCGTGCAGATATAAAAACAAAAAAAGAAGAAAATCAAAAGAAAAAATATAATAATCATAATAATAATAATAATAATAATAATTTTTTTACGATATTGTAAATCATTCGAATATCATATACACATAAACGTGTCCAGTATAACAACTACTACTTGCCTAACGGCAAGTATATCGAACTTTGTCTTTACAATGAATTCAATTTTTAAATGCATTTCCTGAACTTAACAAATTTCGCGAAAAGATAAGCACCGTTACTTAATGTTAGATCGACTAAAATCACATCTTGATAAGGGATACGAGTACTGTTATAAGTGCCTTGAAAAGTTACAAACACGTTATGCTAATACTACTACAAAGAGTAAGAATGAATGGAGGGAGAAGCGTGTGTATCACGTGCTTAGGGGAAAAACTTTCAAGTAATTAACGAGGTTCCTCAATAAAATAACGTTTACCTCAATCATTTTTCTCTTTTTTTTAGCAGAATTTTCGAATATTCGAAGAGAAAAATTGTTAAAGAAAAAAAAAAAGTTAAATAAACTAAGGTGTAGAGGATGCTTAAGCAACTTATGTCGAATGGTTTATCGGACAATCTACTAATTGTCGAAGAGACTTGCGGTCCATTCGAAATTAGCGTGTGCCGCAAATTCATCGATGTGATGGCTTGTCGGCTGCCCGCTTCGTATTTTTAAAAACGTTATCATTATAGTCTTCAAGAAGCAAGGACCGATCGGGCAATTGATATGAATATTATTTTTTGCATCAAAAAGTGCCGGTAAAGTAAAACTCCTTTGCAATTTGCATACGTACTGCACTTCAAACGGAGAGTGTATTTGCATAAAATTTCATGCTTCGGTCTATTTATGTTTGTAGTTCTGTCTGTACGCAAAGGTTTACGAGTGAAATGTGTGCGCGAGATGTGTTCAGGGAAAAGGTGACATTTTTTGTTTCACCAACAATATCTATTTTGTCCCCCAATTATGTCAGTGCTTTTTCAAATCCTCAAAGAATCTCTGATATGTTCTCTTAATATGACCTTAAGCTCTTCCACCGAAGCGATCTTTATCTCCTTAAAACTCTGTCCTTTTATTTGTCTTTTCAGTATTTGGGAACAGAAAAAATTCACAGCGCAAAAATTCATACGCTGGGTGAGGCATAATTGCGGGATTGTTTTACGCCTAAAAAATTACAAACAATCTACGGCGTGTGAGCTGACCATGCATTTCATACCCAAAACGTCCGAAAAAATTGCATGGCAAGAGCCGATATTCTCATCAACTGCTTCGACCATATCACTTCACTGCCTCGTCATTAATATCCTTCTTCGCCTTCTGTGAAGAGTTTATACCATTCATAAGGATTTTATTTGTTTTTAACAGATTTTTTGATCCCTTTGTTTCGATAGCCTAAAGCCACCCAGCACATCAAAACGCATCTAACCTTTAAGTCCATCAAAAAGAAACTAAAAATGCAAAATGAGTAACATATTTTGGAGACTTGTGTGTGTACCAACATAACCTAAAGAATAAAACTCGGAAATTCGAGTATATGTAGCCAATGAAATTTGAAAAGTCACCTTTTTTGTGGACACGCCTCCTATATCGTTTCGGTTCTTTGATGTAAATAGATGAGCATAACAAAAGAAATTAAATAAATTGTTTTTAATTGCACGCAACTCGTACGATACAACATAATGTAAATATGTTGTCGGTTTTGTCCGCGTCTTGGTCTCAGCTTTTTCAGTACTCAGGAAGAGATTCTTCCACAAAAGGTAGGCCTAGCTTTATTTTCGTGATATCTGCAACCATTGTGTCACGATAGAGAGAAAGAGAGAAAGAGAGAGAGAGAGAGAGAGAGAGAGAGAGAGAGAGAGAGAGAGAAAGAGAGCGGGAGAGAGACAGGCAGAGACATTTTACAGCTCACTGAACCTAACAATTCTCGTTAAACGTTTCTCCAGCAGATGTGTTGCAAATTGTGCGATCCATTTATGATTCGACAAATACGTTTCATTATTTTCAGCAAGTATACAGAATTCATTTCAGCTTCATTTCTATACATTGTGCTCCGCGAAAGAGTCTGCACAGTTTCACAGAACGTAATGACGTTCAAGGCAAGTTTGCACTGGGCGGTACAGCATTTGATCTGAATGAAATTCTTATATAAATAGAAGATAAATAAGTATAATGACGACTTTGTACGATGCGATGACGTTATCGTCGAAGGGATATTAGCTAATTATTCGAACTTCTCTTAACAAAAATTGAATGCCTTTCTTTACCTATCAATTTTCTTTCGTTCGCAATCAGTCTTGCTCAATCTTGCCGACACATTTCATTTCACATTCAACATTTTAAATGTTTCTCGGAAATATTTATACAAAACTATGTATGGCTGGTTATCTGCATCTGTATCTGTTAATCTAATAAAAGCAGTATTTCGAAATTTCTGCTTTTTACTTTCACGGTACGCGATGATGATTAGATCATGGATTGTATCCGTTTAAGAGAGTGTTTTTTTTTTTTTTTTTTTTCAAACTGAATTTACCGTAAAAAAATGTGCAAGTTATGAACAAAAATAATTAGGTTCGAATCGATTGCATATATATATGAAGCGCAGTTAAAATTCGAAAGGAATTTATATTTATTGTATATATGTTATGCAATTTCAACATGAAATTGATGTCGACTTAGGCTGCTTGCTCATCGTTTGTATGCGTATTTTTTGATAGATTTATGGAACAAAAATCGCAAATGTAAACTGTAAACGATTAATAGGAAATAGAAAATTTCGACAACTTCAGAATCAGCGAAACGCATGATTCACTTATGACTTTTTCAGAAATTTTTCACTATCTTTAATAAATACATCTACGCATATACATTCGACTTGAATATAGAATGTCTTTGAGTCAACGCTTCTTGACTTGAATGCAAATATCTTATACGATCCGTAAAAAGAATAGAATTCAATTATATATATATATTTTTTTTTCGCTTCTTTTGACAATTGCATGCA